ATCTATTGGATGATCATCATCTCAGAATAAACAACAGTCTTCTAAATGGAAAAACGTGGGCTTCATGAAAAATTCACAATGTTCTTAAAAGTTTGCTTTTGTCCTTTTCCTGCTGACTGGTGAAAATGTTATCACAAACTAACACTGACCTATGGGCTGGCATTTGGGGAGCACAAAGAGAATAATAATCTTTAACGACAAAGAATATGAAAACAAATACATGTCTATGTATGCATGACTGGGACATTATGCTGTATACCAGAAATTGACACACTGTACCTGACTATACTTCAATTAAAAAAAAAAAAAAACCTTTGGCCAGAGATTTCTTTGCTTCTCCCTCCAAATCCACTCTCATCCATCCCTCATTGCTCTTTGCCAGGGAGCTGGTCTCTCTGAACTTGTCATAGAGGCTCTCTCGCCCTCTGGCTTCTCATTGGGTTTAGCCCAAGAAAGATACAGATAGAAGCACAGAGGGGGAGAGGAGAGGAGGGTTGGGCTATTTGTTCCACTGGTCCATTCACCATAACTGCCTGGGTACAGATTGGCAGTGGCTGTATTTTTCTGCCCAAGGTCTCAGTTCACAGGATGACCCTCTCCACAAGCTCCCTTTCTAGATTCTGCAGTAACGCTCTCCCATAACCTCTCCAGGTCATGGTAATAAGGCAAAGAGTATCTTTGTATCTCACCATCCTTTGTTGACACCCTTAACTGTACCCATGCTGTTCCCTTCATTAAACTACCCTCAGTCACTCCATTGGAGTGGCCATCTAGTCCCTGCTGGGACTGGACCAATACACTTTTCATTGAAAGATGAAAAAACTGAGGCCCTGAGAAGTGAAGCCCAAAAGTCACATAGCCCAAGTCACATAGTCAGTGTGAGTCCTGTCAGGTCCAGAATGTGGCCTTCCAGATTAAAGCAAGAGTTCTCCTCAGTCAGGGTTCATCCTCCCATGACCTCCCATGACCTCCCATGACCACCTCCTTCATAGTTGTAGTAATGGGCACATTCTGGAATCTCTTTTCATTGGACTTTGACAATAGTTCAAGCTTTAAATTTAAATGTCTCATAAGGTAAATAGTGACACAATACCAAACACAGAGGAATACTGTTTTCACTAGAATGGACTAGAATCAGGAAAACTGAGTTGCTAAATTGTTGTCTAAATTAAAATTGGCAATTTAGCCTAAGGAGCTATTGCAAAAGCTGAGCACAAAAGGACACAAGAGTGGGTAAGTTTTCACTGTAAAGTAAATTCTGATCACCAGAGACTGGGGAAGGGATGAAAAAATTTGCCCAGGGGTAAGAGCTTGAGGTGGGGGGCTGTGGAAAGACTTAAATCTACATGAGAAATATGAGCAGGTTGTAGAAGGGTAAGGAACTTAAGGGCCTTTGGCGATTGTTGAGGGGGAGAAAGGAATGGAAAGCTGTAATAAACAGATGAGACATCAAGCAGGAAGCTTGACTACTGAAAAATGTGTTGAAAGCACGTTTCATCTGGCAATAAGGAAGCAGGAAGTTACTGCACTTCTGGGTAGGGGCTGCTGCCGGAACCCTGGACATGAGATGCTTCAGATTGCTAAAAAACATTTAATTGTCTTACACTGACCCATGTCAAGATGCTTTTCTGTAAAGGTGGAATTTGCCATAACCACATCTTGATTTAGCAATCTTGCTTTTAAAGAAACGTACACACATATATTTAACGTATTAACTTTGTTCTAATCGCATACTTGACTGAGTTTCCCACTGCTGTGGTTTGATCATTTGCTGTTACAAAAGTGCCTCCATAGGGACTTTCTATTCCCAGGGTTTAAAAATAAGCAAGAAAGTTTTAATATCAAATGATTCTCCTGAAAGGAATTAGGATGATAGAGTTATTAATAATAATATTAATCGAGCACCTCATCTGTCCAGTTATCCGATTTACCGCATTATTCATCACATCAGCCCTGCCGTCATCACCTAAACTCATAGCCACCTCCTGGCCCTCTGCTGGACTGTCTGAGCCCTGGCCTTGGCAAGTGTACTTTCTCTGGGGCTCTGACCCCTGGCAGTGTTTTAAGCCAGATGCATGGAAAGTACTGCTCAAAGAAGTCACTGTTACAGCCTCTCAGCAAGAAGGACTGCTCCTTCTGGTGCAGTCACCTTCTTTGACTGCTGGGCCTTCAATCAACATGTCTTTATTGAGTTCCTACTAAACACTCAATGCAGAGCTATTGGGCCTCTGCATGCAGGGCACTTTCTAAGTGCTGCACAAGGATTCAGAGCAGAATGGAGGATTTGGATCAATCAGAGACCTTGAACTAGTCCTGAAGGATGTAAGGGATTTGTATGGTGAGGCGTAAGAGCAAGGTCACTGAAGACAAAGAAATAACTGACTTAAAAGTAAGGAAGGGGACAATGACAAGGTACTGAGATGGGTTAGAGAAATCAAGAAAAACTAAATTTTAAAGAAGAGTAGATTTCCCTCCAGCTTCTCAAGAGAGGAGTCATTGCAGCCAAAGAAAATCTACTCTTAGCATTTTGCAGATTTGTCAATTAGCAGACTGTTAACTTTAACACACACCTAATAGTCTACGGTATTTACCGTAATCAAAGAGTATTGAATTTTTCATATTCTGTAATATTCTTTTAATTTGATCATCCTGGTTATCTTAGACATATGCACTTAGATTACTGATGGATATTTAGGTAGAAAATTTTAAGACAACAAATTGAAGTTAAAACCTGGAATACCCGCTGAAGTACGAGAATTTACCATTTGGAATTCCACAGACACAGGTTCAATCCGCAAACAACCATCTGTATCATATATTTTCACTTTTGATCAGTATAATTCACTCATCAATTACTTTAACTACCAAGACACTTTCGTGTTCGTAAGAAACACAAATCGTTTCACGTTGGGTGTGTCCGCATGTGCCTGAGGCAGAATGAACGTAGTGGTGTGAGTCTCACCTTTCCGCCCTTCTGCCCTCACATCCTTGCCAACTGGGATAACAACTAACTAGGCCTGTCTAGGGTCTGTGAAATTACACACCTACCTCCAAAACTTCTTAACCCCGTGTATATACTTCTGAATGTATATATTCCTGAAGTTATTCTTGGTTTAATTTTCATCCTTTGGTGGCTGGGGGTTGCCTCCTATTAAAAAGTATGTGGCTTGGTGTGAGCCAGTTTTACCTCCATGTGGATGGGTTCATGGCTCTTCCGGTTAAAGGAGTGGGGGACAGGGAGGCAGGGCAGGGAGTCGGGAGTGACAGCAGGCAGCTGGGTAAAGGCGCACAAAATAGGCTTTGCATTCTTCACTGTTTGCTCAGGACTCTCCCTGTTCTATGTAACACGTGGTGATTTCTTAAATCTACCTGCACCAAAAGTCCTATGTTACTTCCTAACAGTGTCCAGTTAAGCCTGTTTCATTTGGCTTTGACCTACATACAATGCTTTTGTCTTACTGGAAATGGCTGTCCTTGTTGGCTGGGGAAATTTGGGATGTTTGGAGAAAAAGACCTAAAGAAATAGATTAGATCTTGCTGGGTCTACTCACAAAAATTTTGAAAACTTCCTCTTGAGGTCAAACATTAGACAAGAAGATTCTCCCTGGAAAGAGTGGTCCAGATGAGGGGCTTATCTTTTCTGGAATAGCTTGGCCTCTTAACAATTTTTCCTTTCTTCTTAAAAATTTTTGTAGCATAAACTATCTGTACGTGTAAATCCACAAGAATTTTGTTTTAAGGCTTGAGACTTTTTGGACTGACTCTTGAAATTACTGGAATCATGTATGGGGTGCTGAGGATCATTGGTTCAGCCCAAATATCAGTGTTTTATCCCCAAAGGCTGATGTGGGGAGAGATTGTGCAGCCGGGTGTGACCTAGGTGCCACACTGTTTTTGAGACGTCGCAGCATTTCTTTGTCGCTCATCCCACAGAATTTAATTTATATTAGAGGTCCATGGCAGGGCCCTAAGGCTCAGAGTGTGGTGTGAACAATTAGGAACTCAATGACTGTTTTATTTTTATGACTGGTTCCATTTACCACCAGATGGCTCTATTGTATCATCAGGAAATGGACACGTGTAAAATTGGTGGGCTCCTAAACCAAAGGGGAAAAAATTGATTTTTTTTTTTCAGTACGTAGGAGTAAAGTTCTTTCTTTTCTATGGGGTTAACAGGAAGCAGCTGCAGCAGCGTGGACATTCACAAGAAAATAGGCCACACCCAAGGAGGCTATATAGGAAAGTCATAAGCCTAGTACATATAAGGTTTTCTTTTTAAGTTGTTGTATTGCTGTGTCATTATTAATTGTCACAATAGCCACAGAACAGTCAGGAAGTGCTCTAGTCCCAGAGTGCAGGTGACTGATATTTCCATACCGATTTTGCATATTCTTCCACTTGCAGATGAGGAAGAACAACTTTAGAACAATTTTGAGAGGCAAGATCTACACATTGCTGATTTGAGTCACATTAGCCATGTTCTGGGGAAGAATGACTTGATTATAAACCATGTGTTATCTTTGCATTAAGGGAACTTGTGATAAGAGGGTGATGATGAAAGGAAACAAGAGCTTCTCTGAGTTCAAATGACTATGTCCCCCAAGATCCAGGAAAATGTTAACAATATAGGCATTCTAGGTGACATCTCTCACTAGGAATGTGAAATTTTGGTTCTAACCTCTTGAAGAAAAGTTCTGTTTGTATCAAGAATAAAAGTTGCCAATTAATCAGATTTAAACATGGGCTTTTATTCAACTTTTTAAAAAAAGTTGTGCATTGTCATAATTTAATATGAATTTTTTCACTCTAGCCTTTAGACTGTGAACTGTTAAATAACACTATCGTTTTTGAAACATTTCATTGTTTTATTACTATGTTGAAGAAGAAAAGGAGGTGATTTGTGTGAGTTTATTCAGCCTATCCTTAGTCCGCAGAGTTGTTTAAGATATGCTCAGGAAATGACCCATGTCAAAGACTAATACTTGATCATTGTTTTAAAGAAGGAGTCCCTGGAAACCGGACAGATGGCGTTTACTTTGGCACAACTGGATTCCTTGGAGATTTGCCTAAAGGAAGCAGAAGAAAAGGCTAAAGCCTTATCTGAACAGGTAATACCTGCCACTGGGACTGGAAATGTATGTTCCTCGCTGTGCAGCAGAGCAAGGGTAAGTCTAAATATGCGTCTCAATCTCTGTACCTACTGATACACATGCACACACCAGCATTTCATTAATTTTAGGTATAACAATAACTACTTTAATCTATATGAACCTTTCCAGCCTTTAAAATTCCTTTCACATTTATATTTTGATTTTCATTCACCACAGCCCATGAGTTGGGAAAGCCATCTTTAAGCAAGTAGATTTCTGAATAAGCGAAACATTTGCATTATAAACAGATGAGCTCCAAAGTAAAATAAAACCTAGAGGAACCATACAGGAGCAACTTTCTCAAATTAGCTGAAAAGAGTTTCACAACCCAATACTTCGCTCTTGGGTTTTGAAACTCACAGAAGCAAAACAGGTCACAGGTGGAGCGTAGCCTCTTCTGGGCAGTCAGGTTGCTTTACAGGTCGTGCGCATACACACAAGCTCTCCGATTTCAGACACGGAGTGTGGGTATCAGTAAAGCGCAGACCATTTCTCAGCATGATTACACTTGGCAAACAGTATCGTGCCTGATGCAGATCCCACTGTTACTGCTGCCCTTCCCCACAGGCAGCGGGGCTTGGCAGAGAGCAAAGCTACTGGAAGTCCTCCTATAGCCCAGGGCACCAGTGCTCACTGTTGCTGGCAGTCAGTGGAGGAAAGAGGACAGAGGCCCTGAAATGTTACAAATGTTTACTGATCTATCATGGACATCAGACATTTGACTAACATATTTTTACAAACTTTTAAACAAGGATTTTGAGGGTTTTTTTTTTAATAACATAGGCCTATAGAGCAAAATTTGACTGCATCAGGATTTTATGTGAATGTTTACAGAAACCAGGGTGGGGAGATGTTTGTGTTATGAGAAAAAGAAGTACAATTAACATGTAATATAGGGTACACACACAAACAGCCTCCATTTCTTTTTCAATTGTACAAGACAAAGTGCATCTCGTACTTTGGGATGTGTTTACTGCTGATTGCCTAGACGTGAGAGATGCAAGCAGTCGCCCGGGGCCATAGGTCAGTTAATCAAAGGATGTTGCCCTAGGCCCAGACTCACAGGAGAGAGTTTCCATCTATCCGCATACAATAACCCTAGCTTACCAGCTGGTCTTTTCTCTAAAACAAATAAAAGCCAAGCTTCAGACTGTGGCAAAATTATGAATTACAAAGAATGTAAAGATGAACATGAAGTATGATTTCAAAGCATTAAAACTAAGAATTTCAGAGCCTGCAAACCTGGAGAAATTTGGAATAGCTAACTAAAAGAGGGCACACTTGCTCATATAAGGTTGCACTAAGAAGATACATGTTTGTACTGTAACTGAATGCCTGTACTGATTTTAATGATTTAAATCAATAAAATTCAATTCCCCCATAAAGTTACTCATCCCCTTTGTTCTTTAGAAAATATTTTTATCCAATGCAAAAAGCCCTTAATATTTAAGATTCTTAACTGGATGATCCCTTTATGTAACATCAAACAATGAGATACTTTTTTTTCAGCATTTAGCAGATTAATTATAGAAAATGGAAACTGGATTTCACTCAACTTCTTTGTAACTACCATGAGTAAGATGCTAGTTAGGTGTTTGGGGAAGATAAGTAAAGCTTTTCTACCCAAGTAGCTCATGACCAGAAGAATTACTCTAAGAGCTGGAGAGTGAGAATGGGTGTTTGTACAGCTCCCAGACAGACTGCAGAAAGCATTAAGTTGCAGGGTCTGTGTGCATTATTTTCCTGAAGTCTTGCCTCTGCAGTTGCCAAATTTGCATAGCCACGTGAATTTAATTGGAAGATGGCAAAGGCATGAGGAAAAGGAGAATTTAATGTGTTTTTTTAAAGCACATTAATGGCATTTTCAATATTAAGTTTTTAATTGAGTATTTTGTTCGATTTGGCTTAGTCTCCACCGTTACTGTTGAAACAGGTTAATCACACACAGACACTGTTCTCAAAGGACTTAATCCTGAAATTTTTGCCATGTCTATTGTTTCAGTTTACTCTTATTCTTAAAGAGAGAAAAACTGTAAGAACATTCCCCTCCCCATTCTGCTTTCAAACCTAGTAGGTGTTTTTTTAAAAAAAAATGATGACAGAAAGATAGGGAACAATACAGGGAACACATGACCTTTCTTAAGACTAAGAGATGAGATATTTCAGAGTGGAGCACCTGTCTCAGACAATCAAACGTTTGTCCACTGGGTGCCACTGTCTTCCTTACCAGGCTGTGCCACTTAGTGGTCACAAAAAAAAAAAAATCTTTACTGTTACAGACCATTTGTGCATGTGCGTGTGTGTGTGTGTCAAGGAATATTTTCTCTGGCATACATGTACATATGCTAAGGCTTCATCTAAATACTACTAATTAGGATTTGTCACAAAGATGGGGGGGAATGCTAGCTGGTGTTCACTGGAAATCCCAATCACTTTGTCAGCACTGTGGTTGGCCACCAGCCAGGTGGGCTAGAAACAAGTGGGGAGAGCAGAGGAAATGTCGAGGACAAAGATTTGTGCTGGAACTCAGGAGTAGAAGGTCATGGTATGGTAACCAGTCTTTGAGAAAAGGGTAAATCTTGATGTTAGCCAAATTCTTACCTCCTGGCTTTGCCTCTTAGAGCTGCACATGGAATGAACTCAAGAGAGATGCCCAGGGGTTCATCTACACTAAGCATCCGTTGGTCCCGGGCCTCAGTTTACTTAAACTGAACCTTTCCAGGATCCCTTCCAGCAAGGTCTCTGATGAGTCACCAGGAAAAAGGAGAAATTAGAACAGTGAGGAAATCAGGAGAGGGTGGCACTTCCTCTGTGAAGTCACACAGTAAACAGAGTTCTTTGTTGGCTTCCCTCTAGCTAACAATTATTCTTTCTTTCTCTGCAGTCGTGTCACTAGTATCAAAATAAAAGAAATATGAGATCAGGGTAATTTACAATTAAGACTTTTAATCTGGCCTGTTCACAGTTGTAAGAAGTAAGTGCGCAGCAAAGCAACTGGTCAGAGAGAGAAAGGATCGTGAGACTCCAACTCTTGTCCTGGAAAGTAATGGTAAATAATTCAAAATATTGCTAAGTTTTCCTAAAGAAAATAATTGATTATATTCCCCATAGGTTAAGATCACTGGAAGAGAATGCCTAGAAAATTAGGTAGTTGAAAGAGGACTAGGAGGAAGAGCAGGAAAGAAAGAAAAGTGGTAAGAAGTAAAAAGGTTTCAGGAGAAACTCATAAAACGCAGTTTTAGACTGTGTGCTGGCTTCAATCCCCAGTGCACACAGGAGGGACAAAGAAAGGGGCTCTGGTAAGCTGCAGTTTACCACTTAACACCAGCAAAGGGATCCTACACTTTTGTGCTCGAATCCCACAGCTGTGTGTGTGTGCAGAGGGCCACAGCAGGCCAGTTTCTGAGACACTTTCTCTGGCAACAGTGTTGGCCCATGTCTCGCATTCATCACTGGCTTCTGGTTCCCCGCTCCCAGCAGCAGACCCAGGAGAGTGCAGGCTCTTGCCCCACTGCTTGCTAGCTTTATGACCTTGGGCAACTCACTCAGCCTCTCTGAGACACAGCTGTCTTATCTAGAAGGGGATAAACACACTGGTTTCATAGGGCTGTTATGAGGATCAAATTAAGTGTACCAGGCTCTCAGCAGTTTCTCAAAAACTGTTCAGTTATCTCTGCTTCTTCTAGTACCCAGAACTGAGGGGTTCTCTGAGTCACGTGTCATGGGCTAGTGCGTGTGTGTGTGTGTGTGTGTGTGTGTGTGTGTGTGTCTGTACAGATTTAACAAGTTGCACTTTTAACTGGGATCTCTCAAAGTGTTTGAAAGACACCCAGTTGCAACACAACCTTTAAGTCTTTGAGCAGGAAAAGCCCCCCGCCACCCCGGCTTCCTTATGCTGCTTGGCTTCTTCCCCACCCAGCTTCCTCTTCTCTCCTTTCTCAGTCCTTGGCTTGGTAAAGACACTTTAGTACTTTAACCTTCATTCTTTCTGCTTCATCTCTGAAGTCTTCTGTCTGTTTCTACCCACTCTCTGATTTTGCCCAGACTGGGAATGGAATGGGCAGTGCTGGTATTTGGTCTTTCAGAAGTTTGAGGGGGAAGAAACTGGGAAGTGAGGGGAAATCTGTGATCATTTTTTCACCAAGGAGGTGAATCTAGTAATAATTACGTAGTCGAATTAGCTTCAGGCATTTTTTGGACACCATATCTAGCAAAATATTAGCTGTGTATTAAGTATGGCCTAAAACCTAGCTGGGAAAGAAATAACCTGATTTGAAGCAAGACCGAGGAGGTGGGAAACTTGGTGAGGAAAATGACCTTTTTTCCCCCTAACTATTGTTTTTTCCAGGTAGGAATAAGGCATAGACAAGACACAGCAAAGGGTCCTTCTTAATCTTTTGGAGTAGCAATATAATTTTGCCTCTTTTGTTTTCATAAAGAGAGATTTATTGGTAACCCTCAAAACGCAGAGAAATTTCATGGAGAAGGACATGGTAGTTTTATTCCACAAATTTCAGAAAAAGCACGTGGGAGAGCCTTTTTCTTACTTCTTCTTAATAGCTCACATGCCAGTTAGATAGTTTTTCCCTTACCAGATGAGAGCTGTTTCCAGAGGCCCAAAATAAAACTAGTAACAGGCGCTTCCAGTATCCTCACTCTTTACTAAACTTGACTGATTATGTTATATATTCAAAGACAATTCCTTTCTCTTTCTTCTTTCCTCTGAGATCTTTCTGTTTAAGGTTCTCCTTCATCTTAAAAAATAGCAGAAGCAATAATGGAAACAAGTCATGAAAAGGGGTGCAGTGATGGGGGTGTCTAAGTTCACATCCTATAGAAGTACATCTCTGGTACCAGAGCCCTACAATGTATAGGCCATGAGTGGAGAAACAAACATTTATTAAGCACCTACAGTGTTCCAGGTACTATGTTTAGACTGATAGACATTTCACTGTATC